AGGTGGGTAAAATGAGGACCCAGATTGTTGTTGGGGGCAATATGCTGACTCTCTGTAAACCGCTTAGAGAGGCCTGAAAGGCCTATGAAGCGGTATATAAGTCTACTGCTACTACTTTGGCTCCTGGGGGGCGGGGGGGGGGCAGGAGAGGAACGACGGTCCACTATTCCCACTGCTCATCGCTCCCCACCCCACCTGGGCATCAGAAGAAGTGAAGAGGGCCCTCCACAGCTCCTCTCCATGCCCCCTCTGGACGTGGCTTCCTGCCCATCTCCTCTGCCCTTCTTCCGCCAGGCCAGGCCAGGCCAGGGGAGGCCCTGCCCACCTTCTCTCCACGGGGTGGGCCAGGATGGGAGTTAAAGGTTTTCCGCAGCCAGGCCCACCGGCCGCACATCCCGAGGGGGGGGGGCAACCAGAGAGGTGGAAGCAGCGGCTCTTTCTTCCCCCATCCGAGCTCCCCCCCCCCTTGGACATCTAGTGGGGAAAGGCTCCACTGCCCCCCACCCCACCCTGGGGCAGCCAAAGGGGTCCGCAGGACCGTGGGGTTGATTCAGCCCTTCCAGACCACCCTGGGTCTGAGACCACGTGGCCTTTCCTCCGCCTCAGACCCAGCGTCTGCCGGGAGAGACTCCCCGAGTCTCCCCGCTTCTCAGGAGGCCCACCTGTGTTCAGCACCCCCGCAAAGACCCAGCACTGCCCGTAGCGGACGGGCCTGAAGCCAGAGCTCTTCCACTTGCGCAAGATGTCCACGCTGCCCGTCCAGCTGCTGGGGCTCTCCCCCCCTTCGTATTTCCCACTCCAGTTTCCTTGCAGGATGCCGCTGTCATCGTTGCTGTTCACCTGGGGGAGGGGACACCAAGAGAAGCCGCTGTGGGGAAGCCTTTTTTGTGGGGGGGGAGGGGGTCTTTCTGCTTTTCCTATATTTCTCCAACCTTCATTGCCACCCAAAGCCACATTCACTCCTGAGGGGCTCCAGCTGAATGAACAGGGGAACAAGGTCTCTTCTGGTTTCTACCACCCGGGCGGGACTCCTGCAGTGGAAGCCGGACAGGTGAGCCACCAGGACGCCCTGAAACTCAAAGGGCCACCTGGACTTTTCAGCCTCCCTTGGCCGACATTGGGGGCTGGAGATGGAGGGGGGAGTGCTCAAAGGAGCCTCTCCCCCCCCCCCCCGAGGGAGTGTGAGACACACCGGAAGGCTGGTTTCCTCCTCTCTGGATTCCCCTTGGGGGATGCCCCCGGGGGCAGATTCAGAATTCGGCCGTTTGGTCCCGATGTGGCCATCCAAACGCCCCCCAAGGAAGCCCACAGCAAGCAGGGCCTCAACACGTGACTCTGAGGCGCTGTCTAAGCAGTGGGGTGGCTCAGTGGCGGGTTTGTACCAGTTCAACCATTGGTTCTCTCGTGCACGCGAGCGACGCTTCTGAACACGCGCAGAAGCGTCCAGCTGCCACTACTGGTTCATCCAAACTGGGCCGAACCAGGAGCAACCCACCTCTGGTGTGGCTGGGTTTGCAGAGCCTGTTTTCAGGGTGGTAAATAGAGGGGGGGGAGCTGCAGTTCAATGCCAAGCACGGTCCCCTGGATCTGAAAATGGGATCTGAGCTGAAAGGGATCTTGGCATCCAGCTGGGTCATCCCCGATTCAGCATGTGAAGATGCCAGCCGATGGCTTTGAATGGTACTGCCAGAGGCTCTGTGGGTCAAAAGTTCCCTTCGCTTTGGGGGGAAAGGATATCTTAAGTTGGCACAACACACCCATGGTGTTCTGCTAAAATCCCAGCTGGAGAAATTGGGGGATGTGGGGGAAAGAGGAGGGGGGGGCTCTGCAAAGCATTCAGTTTGCCCTTCACCTCCAAAAGGAGGCATCGTTTTTGCCCCGTCCCTTGGGCTACAGGGGAGGGGGGAGCTGAAGGGGCTCTCTCATGATCTCGGCTGGATGCAAGCACGTTCATACCATGGCGCTGAGCACCCGTCCAACGTATTTGGGGTCATTCCGGCGACGCAGATCAGCCGTGGGATCCTTGCGGTGGCTCAAGCTCCGGTCCAGAGCAAAGAGGCAAATGTCCAGGATCTCGGCTTGGAACTGTTGGCAGAGGAGGCTATCAGGCGGGCAATTCCCCTCCCCTACACACACACACACACACACACACACACACAATTAGTGGCAACAGTGGCTGTGGCAGCTTGGATGCCACTGGCCGATTCCTGAGGTGGGGAAGGTCATCTGGAACCACCTTCAGGTGCCACCAGGAAGGAGTTCCAGTCTTCCAGCTTTGATGGGCAGGATTCTCATTTCAGCTCAGCCTTCCTTTTGGGGGGGGCGGGATCTTCTCAGAAATTCCTCCGCCACCCAAGCCTGCATCTCTTCCCCCTGCCAGCTCCCTGAATGGAGATTTTGGGGTGGGGTGGGGAGGGCCCTTTTAGGTGCTGGGGGGGGGATGTCCTTTCTTCCTAGTCGGCAGGGGGGGGAGGTGGATTCACTGTTTTCCCACAGTGCTTCCCAGCTGTTGTAAGATTCCCTCCAGCCCAAGACTGGGGGGGGGGGGCACCAAAGGGCTGACCAACCAAGACGGGGGAAATAATTGAGTGGCTCCATTCAGGAAAGGATTCCAGGATCCCATGTGAAATTACAGCCCAACGAGGCCTCCTTTCTCCTTACCTGGCCATAGTTCCATCCGAACTGAGAGATGCGGTTCGCACTCCCTGCAAAGAGGACCCCAAACTCCGAGAGGACGTATTCCTGGCGCTGCGCATTGTCTGACATGAACACTTCATCCTCTGAAAACCAAGGCAGACACAGTGACTGGGGGTGGGAGGTTTCTCCCCCAGGGGGCAGGTGGGTGCTGTGGGCTCTTTGGACAGCACCCCCACACCCCTGGTCAAATCCTGCCCCAAAGCAGGATTGAGAAGCGCCTCCTTGACTGAGAGGCAAGACCTGGGCATTCAGGGGGTGCCAGAGGCCACCGGGAGAGACCGAGGGGGCAGCCCCCCTTCTCTTTTAAAGTGAGGAGGGGCAAAAGGGTGCAGGAGAAGGTTCCATTTTTGCTATGCCCATTAGAATAGAGGCTGCCCCTTGCCCAGGCTGGCAGGGCTTTGAGCTTTGCCCTTTCTGCCCCTTGCCAGGCTGCTTCGGTACCTGGCAGCCAAGGGTTGAACAGCAGCACGAAAGTGCCCAGGACGGAGACGCCGGAACTGCTCTTGATGCCCAGCCGGTAGCGCCCGATGGCAGTGTTCGCTGGGCTGGTGATGGCGAAGACCGACGATCCGGAGACCTGCACCGCGCTCCAGGAGCCTCTGCTGGGGGCACTGGAGACCCCAAAGTCCACGCGGGTCTTGGCCTGCAGGGCAGCGGTCGAGCCTGGAAAGGAAAGCGGCCACCGCTCAGGGGAGGCAGCGGGGCGGGGGGGGGGGCTGCCCCTTGTGGCGGCAGCTGCAGCTGCAGCCGGCACTCGGCCAGGGAGCGCGGATCCCGCAGAAGGCGGCGGCGGCGGCGGCGGGGGTGGTGGGGCTACAGAGGGGCCAGGTGCGGGCGGGTGGGCGCCCCGCAGAGCCTGAGAGAGACTCGCCTGGCTGGGCAGGCAACCTCCGGGAGTCCCCGTCAGCCTGGGGAGGGGCGGGAGCACCGAGGGCGAAACGGTAAGCAGCCGGGAAATGGGTTAGTAGTAGTTTCAGTAGTTTATTCTATTTGTATGCCGCCCTACTCCCGAGAGACTCGGGGCGGCTAAAGGGGGAGCTCCCTACCTCTGTCCACGGTGAAGGTGAGGCCGGTGGTGGCTGGAGGCGACCTCAGCGTCACGAAGAACCCCTGGCCCCGCCGCACCACCAGCTCGGTGCCAGAGTAGGAGTTGGTGCGGTGCTCGCGGGCGTTCTCGCTCTGCCTCCAGTCGATGTTGCTTGATGCTGTCAAGAAGGAGAGAGAGAGAGAGACGGCTGGGCTGCTGCTGCCCCCTCCCCCCCCCTCACCGGGGGGGCCACCGATAGGAGCGGTGTGTGTGTGTGTGTGTGTGTGTGTGTGTGTGTGTGTCAACTGGGGGTGGAGCTAGTCACTGCTTTGGTCCCCACAGGAACCTGCGCCGCTCCAGCCAGAGGAATTAAGGTCCGCCTCCCCCGTCCCTCCGAAAGAATCAGGGCCTCTCTTGCTCAGGGGCTTGTTGAACCCTGAGGAGCCTGGCTGCCGGGGCCTCCCATGGGCGGCAGGAGCCCCCTGGACCTTTGCTCTGGGCACCACTGGCTATCTGATCCGAGTGGCCTTTGCTGATGCTCAGGATGGTTGTGGAGAAATCCGGGCGGAAGACGGGCAGGCAGTGGAGGCCCAAAAGCAAACCCGGAGAAGCAGCATTGAAGGGTCCCGGAAGGGCCACTCAGGAAGAGCCCGGGGCTTTCTGGGAAGAGAAACACCTTCCCAGGCAGGAGGGGGAGGAGGGGGGGAGGAGGAGGAGACCCACAGACAAACACCAGCAGCCTCTGGACCCGGGACGGGGCTTCTCTGCCGGTTCCCTTGGCACTGGCTGCTCGTGACGCTGGGGGCCACGGAGTCCCCGCAGTCTCCGGCACCATCAGTCACAACTCCCCAGCCCTGGTGAATCGGTCCGGAGAATCCTCCCGGCCCCGTTAAGAGCCCTCTGGACCTGCCCACTAAAAGCTGGAGATAAATCCGAGGGGGGATGGGACGGCAGGCCCCGAAGGGCCCCCCCCCAAGCCCTGCTGAGGCAGGAGCCTTTTCCCCACAGTCTTCTCCAGACTCCTCTCGACTTAGACCGGGCCAGGAAGGCGCCCCAAAGGAAGGAGACTCAGTCTTGAGAGCCGAGCCCAACCCATCCTGCAAGCGCTGGCATGCTGGAGGGTGCTGTGCCCGGCTGCCACTGCTTTCCTCCCAGCTACTCTGGGCCTTTTGCAGGTGTCCCCTTCGCTCTGGACTGGTGAGCATGGACCCCCCCCCCCCGGGGGCAAAATGTCCTGCATAAAGAGCCAGCCCGAGTCAAAGCCCTGCAGGAAGTGGTGGCGTGGGGCTCCTTCCCTTCAGCTCCTGGAGCTCCTTTGAGTGCTCAGGCTGGGCTGGCAGCCCTTGCAGAACGGAGCTCAGGGAAGACAGGTGGGTGCTGAAACCGCTCTGCCCGAGCCCCTTTCCTTCCAGGGTGGGCTGTGCTGCCCAAAGGGTCCCCCCCGCCTGCTCCCCTCCCTTCTGTGCCAGCAGTGCAGGGGCAATAGAAAAGGCCCTCCAGGCCCCCCCAGGTGGGGAAGGGCAGGGGGCCGGGGGTGCGCCGGACAAGCCTAGCATCGGGTCTGCTGGGTGAGGGGCTCTCCAGTCCTTGGAAAGAGGCCTTGCATCCTAAGAGCCCCATTGGTGCTCCCCGGGCTCATCCTGCCTGCTACTCACCAGCCATGGTCTCTGGTGCTCTCCCAGCTGCTCTCCGGACGCCTCTGGACAACGTTCTGGGATCAGATGAAGCTCCAGGGATTTGGGAACCACCTTATATAGGGCGACCGGCAGCTCCTCCCCCCCTCCTCCCTCTCCTCCTGCCCAGGGGGTGAGGCTGCTGGGTCACCTCCGTGGTGCTGCAACGTCTGTCTTGCCCTGATGCAAGAGGAGGGCAGGGGAGACACGGGCGGCTCTTCTTCTCACCGATGAGTGAGAGGCTGAGAAAGGGTGCAAGTAGGGAGTCACTTGCCAAGGAGGAACGGGGAGGGTGAGTCAGCCAGCTGCACCGATCGCCTTGGCAGACGAGGCTCCGGGCAGCCTCACTGGCCTTCCAGGCAGAAAGGGGCCACGCGGGCTCCCAGAGAGCGCGTGGCCAGCCTGATCCAGGGGCATCCTGCTCTCCCCCTGGCAGCTGCCGCCGCCGCTGTGTGGGGCAGACGAGGTGGTGCACAAGGGTTCCCTTCTGAGTCTGGGGCCAAGAAGCCCCCTGCCCAGTTCCTGGCACCATGATCCTTCCGGCCCCAGGGCTGTGGCAGCTGATCTTCTGAAGCGGACCCTCTGCAACACCCCCCCACCCTCCACCCCGGATCACAAGCCAGATGGGGGAGGAGCAGCTGTTTGCAGGCCAAGTGGCAGAGCCACCCAAGAGCCTCTTGGTGTGGACCAGCCAGCGGGTGGCCACCTTAGGCCAAGCTGGGAGAGGAGCCCATCCTCGGATTTGGCTCTCTCTCAAAATCCCCCCCCCCCCCGTTATAACGTCAGTTCATCTCTTGGCTTTCTCTGAGGGGTGAAGAAATCCATTTAACATTATAGCCGCTTATGGACTCCTCTGTTAGCGGTCTGCCTGCCTGTGAGTGTCCTTGTGACTGCAGTCTCCTTGGCAAGGTTTCTCCAAAGTGGTTGGCCATTGCCTCCTGCACAGGGCTGAGAGAGGTGACTGGCCCACGGTCGCCTAGCTGGCTTAGTACCTAAGCGGGGCTAGAATGGACGGCCTGCCGGTTTCCAGGTGGTGCCTTGACCCGCAACACCACACGGATTCCCACTCCTGGCCCAAACCCTCCGAAGAGTCTTTTGGCTGAGCAGAAGCGGAGCTGGGCATAAGTGAGAGAGATTCAGCGCAGCTCTCCTCCTGCCAGGGACGATTCCATGCGCTCCGATGTGGCTTTTCTATGGTCAGACAGACAGAGGGAATCCCAGACAGTGGAATTAAGGGAGGGAAATCCTCTAAGAGGGACTTTCGGCTTCACTTGTGGCTCCCCATTTCCCTCCACCAGAAGTCAAGAAGTCTTTTCTAAGAGGGGCCCTGAGGTGGCCCAAAACCTGCGCAGGTGCCGTTTCCCACCATCACCCACTCAGGTTGCCCTCCCTCTTTCCAGCCCCAGAGGCCTCTGCGCAGGCATGGGGAAAGGGCTGCTGCTTGCAAATAGCTGAATGAGCCATATTTCCCAGAGAGGGAGATGTCAACCCCCCCCCCCCACATACACATATTGCCTGATCTGCCCAGCCCTCCTCTGCTGTTCTAAAATCTCCTAGAAACATCTTCAGTCCGGCATGCTATTGGCCGTCAAGGGGAACCAAGGCAGCCTTTAGCCACCGCATCAGGGGGCCCCTCCCACCCTCCCGGCAGAGTGGGTGCTGGGGAGGGGGCTTCTTTTCCTGCCCCTCCCTCTGGCTATCCTGCCCTGTAATGCCTCCTGAGCCCCTTCCCTGCGTCTCCCGGGACGTGTCTGCGGCTTCCTTGCCACTCAGTGGGCAGCCAACCAAGCGCTACCAGGCGCTGGAAAGAGCCCGGAGCTGTTGATGGCTTTTAGGTAGCCTAAATACGTGAGGAATTCACACAGGCAATTACAAGACCTCCCAGAGAAAGTCGGAATCAGGGGCCCATGGGGCAGAGTTAGGCGGTGAGATCGTTTGGATCAGAATTTCCACAAGCTCTTGCCAGCGGCATAGCTTGTTGGGCTGGTAGCGCTCGGAGGGTGGCTTCTCTGGAAAGCTACCCAAGTGGCATCTCCCCCAATTTGGGGGTGGCTCCCCCACCCCACAGCCTGCAAGACATCCTTAATTCCATCTTTCTCTTTTTCTATAAGTTTCTCTCTCCCTCCCTCCTTCCCTCCCTCCCACCCTCCC